ATTTATTCTCTGTCATGCTCTCACTCTTCAAGAAAAGTAAATTCACACAGAGACCTAAGCCCCATGTTGTTTCCAATTTACATAGTGCTACTGGGTTCAGAGCTAATTAATAAATTATGCAACCCAGAAAAGCCTGTTTGCTTGGTTTCAGTTATTACAACCATCTTTTTCTGAGAAAATTAATTCTCATGGCTTTGTATAGCTTCCAACTTTGGTATCATTTATCCTACATCAAGTCCAGCTAAAAAGACATACAAGCGTTCTAGCACAACAAATGATAGTCTCCAGGACTTTCCAAAGACTGAGGCTTAAAGACAAACTCGTGGGACTCCTCCAGAAAAAGGGAAAATACGTTAGGATGCCAAATCATGGCTTAAAAGAAAAAGCCAAGCTCCTGACATTGTCTGGAGTCCAAGGACCACAGCCTTCAAAGGTAAGTAGATCAAAGGCTCTTGTATTCTCTCTGAAGAGATCCGGTGAAAGCAATCACTGATATTCACCAATGTTACTGATACTTGTATGCTTCAAAGAATAAAAAAAGGCACAGGAAACAGACGAGGCAGCACATGCCCACCCCATGTAATTACCTCAAGGGAACTGAGTATATTGATGTCCATCTGAGATAAAGCTTGACCTATCTTAATGAAGCTCTGGAAATTTAGGTGTCTGGACTAACAAAATTGTAAAGATAGGCTGTTTCTGTTTCTTCAAGCTCTATTAACAAAACCACCAAATGTTTTACTGTGTTAACTTTCATGGAAAGGTTTGCATTCTCTGAAATCATAGAAGATAATTTGTTTTCAAAAAAGAAGCTGCTAGGAGTAATTGCCTGAATCAACAGATGATTGCAAGTAGTGAAAAGTACTGTTTGGATATTAGACAAAGTTTATTCTGATACCAAATTAACACACAGAAGAGATTCTTTAAGTAGGCACAAATTCTTTTCTGTATCAAAAAAACCCCACAAGTAGGGCAAATCTGCTTTCCTGGGAAAGAAGTGTTGAACAAAATTATCTAGTTTAGAGGAAAAGGGGAAGGCTGTTTAAGGTTTTTGTTGCATTTTAGTAACGCAAGTACTTACTTCTCTATAAGTACTAATTATGGAAGTCCCTGATGCAACTGGTACCATAACTGTAAGAACTATATTTCCTAGTCTTAGCCACAACAAATAGATATTTCCTACAGCAATTCCAGACAAAGAAATATAGTCCCTAAAAAACAACTTTTTTTTTTTTTAAGATAAGGTTTTTGTTTAAAAGTTCTTCCCATTTTTCCGAAATGTAATTTTTGTGGACCAGAACTACCCTAAACACAAAAAACTATCACTTCTCAAAGAAACAGCTTTGTATGTCTAAAGATTCTCACAAGGAACAAAACATTACTGAATGCAGCAATGTAATTTTTTTTTTTTTTTAATAGCACCAAACAGCAAGATTTTCCAGGACCTTCTATCTGCTGCAACCAGCCTAAACTCATGTGTTAACTTTCCAACCAATGATTTCTTTTGCTGGTCTGAATAATCTAATACAGAAAAGTATCTTTAAGAGTCTCTCAAAGACTTAGTTGGAAAATTACTACTTCGGGATTTTCACAATTTTTAACTAATAATACTAATTTAAAATTTAAAAAGCAGATCTTGTGGTAAAACTTGTAAAGTTCTAATGGCTTGGAAAATTCCTAAACAGATGTTTAAACTACCATCAAAAATTCTTCTAATTAGCTTACATTTTATCTCTATTATCACCCCTTGATTATCAGAATCTTAAAAACTCACATCTCTGTCACTAACTTAGTGGAGTGTAATTTACAAATTTGAAGTGTTTAGAGAAATACAGTTGTTTAAAGAGTGCTCACATTCAACACCTAAAGGAATAGTGGAGCTCCACATGGTAATAACTGGACAGCATTATTCCATGTGCAGGCAGCACTCCGCTTAAGACTACTTCTTGAGATAAAAGGTCTTTGCTCATCTAAGAAACTAACATAATTCACTGAATTAAATGCTTTGACAAACTCTTGTTTGTTAAGGAAACTTAAGTGCACATGTATATCACTTTGGGAGATTGGTCTAGCATGATGCAATCAAGCAACCAAAGTTGTACTAAAAAATGTAGGTGAGGAACTCAGATCTTACAAACTTCCTGTGGGGCCAAAAGGAATTTTCATGAGAGGATTTTGTACTGAAAGTTCTTACTGAGCACAGATATCTGACATAAAACATCTTGTGGCAACATGAAAATTAGAATTTGCTAAAATAGAGAGGAGTACCTGAGAGGGCAGTTGTGATGAAAGTTAAAAAGAATAACTGAATATAGACAAATAAAAGCATTAAAATGCCAAACATACTAGAAACCCTGAGAATCAAATTGTTTTACCAATATGTACCTCCCTGTGTAAAGCATTAACACTCCTTTCAGGACCTAGTATGTTTGCATAAGGTGTAGTTTACATTTTTGGTGCATGTGTAACGTTTAAATTTGTTCTTAGAATTCATTTATGCAGAATTCTTGAGTCCATATTTATTTCACATCAAATAATAAAATCGGAACAGGCAATCTTCTGTAATTTTAACTCTTTATTTGTGACTACAGAGCTGAAAATGACCCATGTGTTCAGACTGACAATCATTTTCTAAAGAGCTAAAGAGAAAAAACAGTGCAGTTCTGCAGTTCAAAAGTTAAGTACTTTCAAAAGTCATAGATGTAATTTCTACAAGTCTATTAAATCCCCAGATGGACTGACTGCACCCTTAAACTTGACAGTGTCCGTGGTCCATTAATCTCATTACCTTGAACTTCAGAAGCGAAAGCTACAGGTCAGACACACTTGTTTTCTCTAAGAATGCAAGACACATAATAACAGATATGAGGACAGACATGAGCTGCTTGTACAATTCAAGGGCTAGTTTTTGACCTTGGACAGAAACAACAGGAGAAAAATTCCCAAAACTTCCAAGAGGGAGCAAATGGTATCTGGAGATTCTTGGAAGGTGAACAGCTCCCTCACTGATTACAGAAAGCCATGCTATGGTAGCCACGTTGACAAGACAGGAGAAATTTTTCCAGACTGAAAACTACTCCAGCTTAACAGGCATTAGCCAAAAAAACCTAAAAAAGCACTGTGTTCCACTTGAGGATACTGAATTTGGCTGGTCTAACCTCAAATACAAAGATGGACTGTGGAATATTAGACCTCTGAAGGACTGAAAAACCGGTCCAAGAACAAGGACTGGAAGAACACTAGTTGAAGAAAACTTCTAAGTCTGAAGGGAAGAGAAAGATTTTATCTGCAACATGAATCTCCCATATTTTCTGGACCACTCGAATACAGAAACTTACCAGGAATAGGGGGGGGGGGGGGAAAAAAAAAAAAATCAACAAAAAACCATAAACCATGTTCTCTGTAAGAATAAGAAGTTACGTACAAGAAAAACTCATATAGTGCAAACTAGCTTGTTATGTAAGACTACTAATCCAACAGCCATTCTTCTGAATAAGGCTGTTTTGAACACAAAGGAGCTTTTTTAAAATCAAAAAACAAATAAAATGTCAAATCAATGGTACTGTCTTTCTCCAGTTCAAGGAAAGGCAAAGAACTTGGTATTAGTTTAGTGCCATATATGTTGCTGCCATAGAACTCATGCTCAAAGCAAAACCAAGCAGGCAAGATGAGATTACAGTTTAATTAACTGATGTTATTTTAGGACCATAGAGAATCTTGAAATATTCTTAATCAGTTTCCCAGCTATGAAGACTGCAGTCTTTCTGAAGCATCATGTTAGATTACTATCATAATATATTTCACACATTTTCAACATAAGAATTATTTCCTGTCCTTTGAGGGAAAAAAGCTTTAATTTTTAATATGACTCAGGTTTACCTAAAAGCACAATCTTACATTCAGATTTCTTCTGGCCTTATTTTAGTGAAGGTGTTTATGATATAACACAGGTTTTAACTATGTTACTAAAAACATCTCTGTAACCATACATACAGAAAGACTCTCTCAGGCCCACAAACTTCTCACTTTAAGGAAAACCAGTTTCCTTTGTTCTCCACTATTGTTTGTGTGAATAAGGCAACATAAATATGCGCAGACCCATAATAACCTAGATTGAAAGAGATGCCACCTGTGTCTTTTTCCAACCCATTCTACTAGCTTGAGTGCCCATACCCCCACTGTGTGCCACTCACTAAGTCTTCGCAAACCTCCCCTTTCTCAAAACGTCACTTACTACCATCCTTTATTTCACCTACTCCTCAGTTCTCTGTCTTCCAACACCATTATTCTTCCTGACATTTTCTCAACCCCAATATATACTTGATTCAGCCAGGGAAGAAGACTCAATACTGTGCATCCTGTATCTGCCTGAGAAATATAACAAAGCTGTCCTTCCAAAAACTGCCTGTTATCACAGACACAGCAGATTGTGCTGAGCAGGAAAGGAATCCCAAGTAATTCTGTTGGCTCTCAAATACTCCACCCCTTTTTCTAGTTTTCTTTACCAACTTAAAACTTTCCACAATTATTCAAAAGCTGAAAACAAAGATTATCCACTATAAATTATACACAACTTCTAGACAGAAGTCTTAAAGATTCATCTATCTCTCCAAAGTGAAAAGTAATGTTTTCATAATAATGTAAGTTTATAAAGGGAAACAAAATTTGTTATGAACCTGCCACATACATTTTCCTACACTCTTCCCAAACACTACTGGAGATAGGACCTTATCATAACTACTATTTTCAACATTTTTGCTTTGGCAAACAATCTGTAACAGAACAGTTATTTTCTCTACCTACTAACCATACATACTATGTATGGCTACTGATACAGACCTGTTACTAATGGAATGCCAGGTTCTGAACCTTGGCTTGGTTTGGCAAATTGCATCAGATTGTATTGTTTTCTAGTGACTGAAAACTATAGGGAATGTAAACTATACGTGGTACTCAAGCTGCCTACTACCAGTTTACAATTAATTTAAAAGGTAACTTACACATTGAGTTTTTCCAAGTTTTCTTGGGCGTTGTGTTTTTCTCTTTCATATGCATTTTCTACCTCTTTGAACTCTTTCTTGATCATTTCTAAATCCGAAAGAGCTTCTGCTTGGCTGGCTTTTTCCACCTGCAAAGCTCCTTCAAGGTCTCGAATTCTTAACTACCAAGTGATAAGAAAGCAATTAAAACAAGTTAGGAAAAGCTATCATGATCTTTAATGCTGTTCCATGTTCTGTTCTGCTTTACAGGTAACCGTGTTCTATTAATTCTATATGGAAATATATACACAGAAAGCATTGAACACATCTAAAAATGTATGAATACATACAGCTCAAAATGGAGACAAATAAGATAAGCTGAAAAGCACCTTTCATTCTCCTTTAGTGGTGTCTGGATTTTTCCTTTTTCAGTTATAACTAAAGTTTTCCAGGGAAATTCTGTTTTTTAAGTAGACTCATGAAAGTGTGGGATTAACAGTAAAGGCTTCACTTCCACTCAGCATAAAGCACACTTGAAGCTTGTTCATGTATATGAACAAGGAAGAAAAACTTAGCAGTCATTCATGCATAAAAGGTTAAGTCTCTAACTTTAAGGAATGTTACCCTGCCAGTTCCTTTGTATGTTGTAAAAGTAGAGAGAGGAAATTAAGAAAACTAAATCTTTCCTTTCTACTAGTTTAATCGTCACTTTAAAAAATTTAAGTGCCTGTATATAGAGAAGATCATGAGAATAAGAAAATAACTGACTGAAGAATGGTAGTACTTATTTTTGTTACTCAGGAAAAAAAAAAATAGATACCAAAATTCCTTTTTTTATTTTGCTTAGTTTTTCAAAAATCGAGTGTAAAGCGCTTGTTAGTATGAAATTACTACGCAATTATCATTTAGGTTTTTCTTGCTTGCTTTTTAAAATAAACTGTAATTGCTTTACTGGGTCAGACAGTTTAATAATACAAAAATTTAATATTCAAGTATATATACACTTTTTTCATATAATCAATCTTGACTGGTATCTGCAGATATCATGACTTTGTTTGAAGCTGAAATGTACTCTGAATAATTATATCTGGAACTGCAGTTTCAGGATGCATTAAGCTCTCACTCCTGGAGGAGTTGGATGTATGCACTGTATCTCCAAATAGTCTAAATGCCCATTCAAAATATACAGGGCAGGATATTTAAACAGTAGTATAGAGTTTAACTGTTGTGAAATATTTCCTTTCCCCTCACTGTTTAAGTGCTACTGGGAATTCTAAAACTTACAAATGTGACATTTTATTGTTTATTCTAATAACTTTAATTCCCCCTGAAAAACAGATATTTTCTATTCTCTCCTTTCATATAGCACCTACTCCAATGTTGACACTTTTTGCAAAAAAAGCTATTCAGTGTTTTCACTAAAGCAAGTAAGTGGTCTTAAAATTTTTGGAAGATTGTATCTTTACAACTTCATCAACTGTTTTACTGTAAACTTCTACAAAATATTTAACAAAAAGTTTACCTGGATGATCTCTGAATTGAATTTGGATTCCAAATGTGCCGCTCTCTCTGCTTCAATGTTTTCTTCCAGTTTCTTTATTCTCACTGTAGCTGCCTAAAAGTACATTTTGAAGAAATTTAAGTCCAAAGAGATGGTAAACATGACACAAAGACTGTTCTATTAATTCAGTATATTAGGACTCCATACACCAACCTGATGTATCTGAACTACTTGTACTTTGGAACTGTGAGAACTCATACCAAGAAATACATAAAAAAATTTTTACACATCTAGAATATTATTCTCTTCTATTTAGTTAAAGAAATTGATGTAGCATTATGTTATAGCTGCACTTTTTACAATCAAGAAAACTTCAGCTGGAATCAGAACAAAGAAAGACCAAGTTAAATATTCTACCTATTCACTTACTATTTGCTTTTTCACCAAGGTTGTCACCTGAGGCAACATAACCACCCTGTATGTTCCAAAATACAATGGGGTATCAATACAGTAACTACAATTTCAGTGAGAGATAGATGAAGCACAGAGAAGATACAGAATTCCTCAAAAGTATATTGGTTTTGGCACATAACTTCCAATTAAGGTGCCCAGAACAGATTGCTCTGCAGCCCTAGACTAGTCATATTTTCCCT